AGCACTCTTCTTGATAAAGGCTTTTCCACATTCACTACATACATGTGCTTTCTCTCCAGTATGAGTTTGCTGATAATCAGTGAGGTTTTTCCTCTTGATAAAGGCTTTCCCACATTCACCACATACATGGGGTTTATCTCCAGTATTAGTTCGCTGATGATCAGTTAGGTTCTTCTTCTTGATAAAGTATTTTCCACATTCACCACTTACATGAAGTTTCTCTCCAATATGAGTTCCCTGGTGAAGAGTAAAAAAAGTCTTCCAGATAAAAGCTTTTCCACATTCGCCACAAACATGGGGTTTATCTCCGGTGTAAAATCTCTTACGCACTATAGGGCATTGCTTCTGGGTGAACGCTTTACCATACTCACAACATACATGGGATTTCTCTCCTGTATGAGTTCGCTGATGAACAGTGAGAGCAGTCTTCTTGATAAAGGCTTTCCACATTCACCACATACATGAGGTTTCTCCGCAGTATGAGTACACTGATGAACAGTGAGAGAAGTCTTCTTGATAAAGGCTTTTCCACATTCACCACATACATGTGGTTTCTCTCCAGTATGAATTCGCTGACGATCAGCGAGATACTTGTTCTGGATAAAAGCTTTTTCACATTTAGTACATACACAAGGTTTCTCTCCAGTATGAGTTCGCATACGAACAGTGAGCTCATTATTCCAGATAAAGGATTTTCCACATTCACCACATACATGGGCTTTCTCTCCAGTATGAGTTCGCTGATGATCACTGAGGTCCTTCTTGATAAAGGCTTTTCCACATTCTCTCCCTCCACTATGTGTTCGCATATGAACAGTGAGCTCATACTTCCAGATAAAGGATTTTCCACATTCACCACTTAAATGTGCTTTCTCTCCAGTATGAATTCGCTGACGATCAGCGAGGTCCTTCTTCTAGATAAAAGCTTTTTCACTTTCAGAACATTCATAAGGTTTCTCTGCAGTAGGAGTTCGCATATGAACAGTGAGCTCGTTCATCCAGATAAAGGATTTCCCACATTCACCACATTCATGGGGTTTGTCTTGGTTGTAAAATCTGTGATGAACTACAAGGCATTGCTTTTGGGTGAAAGCTTTACGATACTCACCCCATACATGGGATTTCTCTCAAGTAGGAATATGCTGATGACCAGTGAGAGCACTCTTCTTCATAAAGGCTTTTCCACATTCACCATGTACATGGGGTTTCTTCCCAGTATGAGGTCGCTGATGATCAGTGTGGTCCTTCTTCCTGATAAAAGTTTTCCCACATTCACTACATATATAAGGTTTCTCTCCAGTATGAGATCGTTGATGATCAGTGAGAGCAGTGTTCTTGATAAAGGCTTTTCCATATTCAACATATACATGGGGTTTCCCTCCACTATGAATTCGCTGACGATCAGCGAGGTCTTTCTTCTGGATAAAAGCTTTTTCACATTCAGCACATACATAAGGTTTCTCTCCAGTATGAGTTCGCATAATGCTTTTCCACATTCACCATATACATAGGGTTTCTCTCCAGTATGAGATCGCTGATTATCAGTGAGAGCAGTGAGTTAGTTAATTGTGCCAGCCTGGCCGATAATCACGTGTGGGGCTGGTTGAAAGGCGGAGGGATAAATGGGTGGTGAAGCCTCGCCTTTCTAGTTCTCGGGTCTCTTGTTTTGTGATGGTTGTATCGGGTGCA